GTTTATTGTTCACTCTCACTACAATTGAGTAATGAAATGTCCGATATGTAGATAATAGGAAATTAGAAAGAGGGGTAGTATACAGAAAGTTCTAAATAATAAAATATTTTTCCTTAGGGGTAGTCTTTATGTCTTCAGGATTCACATGCCTTTCCCTGTTCTTGTTCCAGGCGTCAACTAAAAATAGGTTAGAGTGAGAAATTAGCCTGTTCATCTGGTGGATATACTAAGATGGAGGTGTCAGATTGGTTTGAAAATTATTAGCTAAGATGTCAGAGGGCATGTTTAAAAGCAGGTTATTAGGAAATAAATGACATTTGAAGAGAAAAAGGGTATTTGCCAAAGGAATCCTTTGGGAACATGAGGTGACCATCCAAATAGGAGACAAGTCGAGAAGGCTACAATCCCTGCAGCCAGAATTGCAAGACTTGCTGCTTACTCAATACCATGCTTCCCCATAGGACTATGTATTTTTACCAGTCCACAGTTTCTAGTGAAAACATGTTTTAACTTCAGCTCTGTGGGTTCAATTTAGTGTGATTTGTGGATGAATATGTCAGTGGTTTTCTTATGAGAGGGATTCAGCCAAGTCACACCCTCCTGGCCTGCAGAGGCCAAACTAACGTAACAAAGTCATCTTAAACCACAAAGACAATCAGTTGTTTTAGGAATGTGTAGCAATTTAGTAACTGCAACTCAGAACATATTTGAGTACTTGTAGTGTGTGCCTAGTACAACCTAAGGTTGGGTTAAGAAGATGAGAAGTACCGGGTCACAGGAAGGCTGATATCTACCTATCTAAGAGGGTTTTATCTTCACATTGCCTGGAAGTAGGGTAGTCTTTTTGTTAGAGCCTGAGATTTGAGGTCATAGCCCTGACTTAGTTCCTTAAAATATTCCGATTTGAGGTGCATTTGGTAGTTTTATATATAATTATTGGACTTTTGGGGACACTAGAGAGCAGTGGGAAGGCGGTGACAGAGAAGAGGGTAGAATGTGGAGTCAGATCCAAGATGAGAACACCATGGGCATAACATGTCATTTCAGATACCTTTCTTCACAGTGTGCATACTCAGCAGTGGTTGCAGAAATTTATTTTCTATTCTCCCTCATATTGTAACCATTTTTGTGCCCTGCTTTACACCTGTAAAAACAGGGTGCCTTCCAGAGTCATCGCTACTAAACAGGGGTGCTGATAATTAACCCTGTCTTATAAATACTGGGTTTACTAAAGCCCAGAATTGGATAAAGTGAATACCAATACTGAGCACTGGTAATGTTATTAAAAGCTCAATTTTTAAAGTTGGAGCCAGGTTGGGAAGCTCGAGAGAAAAGATAGCTTTTGTCGAAAGGAAATCATGAAATATGGAAGAATAATTGTGTCGAGGCCAGAGTGACCCAGTCCATCACTGTTAACATGAGGAAGGTGGCTCTCCAAAGTGGGCTTCGTTATGTTCTCTGGCCCATCCTCTCTCTCCCCAAGCTAGCCTGGATTGCACAGAATCTCTTACCCAGGGATGTCGTGTATGAGTCTGTCGGAGCGAGGGGGCGTCATACACCCTTCTCTCCCCTTTACATGCCACACACACACCACAGATGAGGATCACTTTTCTCATAGCACTTATTTCTTTTCCAAGCCTTTGAGGTATTGGACAGGCTGTAACTGAGTGCAAAACGAATAATCTATGCTGTTTCGCAGTATAACCTACCCTGTCAGAGCCTTGGTTTGTCCTGAAATTTACTTTAAAACCTGCCTCCCCTGCCTACCTTTCCCGATTCCTCCCGTTTTATTTCTTCTCCCCTCTCCCAGCCTCTCAGAGCACACTATGCTGAGCTCTTTTTATAGCACTCACCACAATCTGCTCCTGAATCAGATTTAATGGTGTCTATTTCTGCCTTATTTAGAGCTCCGGGTGACAGAACCTTGCCTCTTTTGTTTTTTCTTGAGCGTTCTTCTGCAGTCCATAGCAGTAGGCTTGGCCTATTTGAGGTCCAGGCTGGGTTTATTAAACGCTATATTTATTTCCAAAGAATCATATAGCCTTTTCTTTAGAGGTATGAATTTGTCACAATCCCTAAATCATATTATTATGCTTATCTACTTGGGTTTGCCTGCCCATACTAAACAGTGGCCAATTGTTCTTTTTTATCCCTTATATGTGTACATAGGTTCTTAGCAAATGACTGTGAAATGAAAAGATATTTAATAATGACATACATTTCTTAAACTGTATTTAGAGTAATGTAGGTTATTCATAGTGGGATAATAAGAAAAGACTGCCATCAAGAAGAAACTGGGAAAGATTGACCCATTGAAGACATTCTTTACCATCTTCAAATATTTATTAAATAGTATGAAAAAGTAGATGATCTTTTACCAGGAACAAGTTTATTTCATTTATAGTCACTGATACATTGGTGATTAAAATTTTAATATGCATTTGTAATGTTTAGATTTATTTCATAAAACTTTCTGGATCGATAGTTAATTTTTTATTTGAAATTAGGACTTGAAGTATACACCACAATTATAAGTTTATTAGACTGGTGATTTAGTTATTATTGCTCAAGTGATCATTTATTATGCTTTCAAAAATGTTTCTTCAAAGTAATAACAAATTATATGACTGGGTTCTGTATTATTGCTAAAAAGAAAAAAAAATTATATGACTGGGCCCTTTTATGAAACTTGAATTAAAAGTTGCGTTTTTAACTTTTAGTTATTTATGCAATTTGGATATCTAGATACTTAAGATGTAAGATACAGATGATTATTTTTAATATTTGGAACTCAGAGTATTCTCATATGGATACGAGTTTGTTCACCAAGCAAATATTTGAGTGTGTATGTCAGGGGTGGGTGGAGAGAGAGAGAGAGGGACAGACGGACAGACAGACAGACAGATTGATTCCCACTTTGCTTGAGGTGTCTTCTGGGCAGGTATATAACCTAGTTTTTGTGTTCCAAGTCCAGCATGGTACCTGACTGATGGGAAAGGATTACTATGTTGATTAGTAAATGGCTTGGGGTGCCAAGATGTATGAACCAGTAGCTGCCAAGGTCTGGTAGTGCAGATGGACTGAAAACCCAGGGGATTCAGTTACAGTGTGTCTCATGGATGTAACAAATCCCTCATAAGGAGGTTGCCCAGAGGAGGGAGAGGTAACTGAGCATGGAGTGGAACTCAGGAAAATTTTTTTATATGATGTGCTCAAGATTACATATGAGGGGGAGTTTCTCAAATACGCATGGGGAGGGAAAGACATTCTGGGCCACACCACTCAGATGTGAAAAATCTTTGTCTTTGAACTGTGGATTGTTTATCCCCTATCAACAAAATGTTAGGGGCATAGTGGTAAGAGAGAGAATGAAAAAGACAAGTCAGAATACAAGAGGCCTGGAATGCCATGCAAAGCACGCATAGCGTTTTTTGCTTTAGTGGTAGTATAGCAGAGACTGGTGGTGTTCGTAAAACCCCCTCCCCTCATTTCTCCTCCTGTGTTCTCTCACTCAATCCTAGTTACCCAAGCCAGAAATGTGGGTGTTTTCCTTATCTGTTCTTTTTCTGTCACATCCCACATCTAACCAGTCACCGACATCATCACATCTACTTCTAAATTTCCCTTTAACCCATTCCCTCCTGGCTGTACTCAGTGCTCTGATTCTGATGTACACTCTGTTGGCATAACACTCTCCAGCGTGGCCCCCCAGCTTGCCCTCCTTTCCCCTCCAGTTCATTTTCACATGCTAGCCAGAGAGGAACTAAGTGCAAATCTTGATCGTGCTAGTTTCTCCTCAGGATGATGGTGGCTTTCCCATTAGCTTGGGTGAAGTTCAGCTCCGGGTCTGACCTTCAGGGTCCTTCACCTTAGTCTCCTTGCAGCTCTCACTGTTCCCCACTTGATGCATACTACTCCTGTCACATGGGGCTCTGTTCCTTACCTGTGCTGGGCTCTCTCTCAGCTCCCACCAGGTCACCCCAAGACTCATCTTCCCTGCTAGAATCCCCTCCCCCTCTCGCCCCCTAGCTCTTTCCTTTGGAGTGTTACTTCTGTGATGTGTTTCTCAACTTTTCAAATCTGGATTTATAGCCCTTGCCGTATAGGCCTTCAGTGCTCAGTTGCCCAACTGTGGTATTTATGAAGCGGCATTTTAATCACTTGCTTAGTTGTCTCTTTTCTCTAATAGATTGAGTTCTGTGCTAACAGAGACCAAGTGTGACTTGTTTACCATTTAATTCCCAGCACCTGGCATAGTGCCTTACATGTAATAGGTATTTATTGACTGTTAGATCCATGTATATCTAAAGTACTTATTCCCATGTCCAGCACATAGTAGATATTCAGTGAATGATGGTAGCTTTTGTTTACCATCATGTACAGCAGCTGCAACTATTATACAATATATAGAACTGCATATAACAATAATATCAAATGCATAAATAGGGGAATGGTAAAGACTAAAAAATGACCATTGGATATGACAAATTAGGTATAGCTTTTGCTTTTTTTTTTTTTTTTTTTTTTTTTTTTTTTAACTAATAAGCTTTCTAAGAAGCAGTGAAAGCAGAAGCCGGTTTATAGGTTTATAATGGTGGGAAGAGCAACTACAAAGGGAAAAAGTGGAGACCAAACAAGGATGAACTTATAAAAATAGTTGACTGAAAAAGAAAATAGTGAAAAGGGTGGTAGTTAGGCAGCAGTCAAAGGAAGGGAATGAAGGGATGCTGGGCATGTCCGTGGGCTGAGGAAGAGAGTCCAACCTGAAGACACAGGTACAGGGTTAGATCAGACCTCCAAGTAAGAGGTCTTGCACCCAAGGAAAGAAGGCGTCTCACACAATTATAAAGAAAAGAGGATGGATGGAGTTGCAGGAATGTGTGCAAAGGTCTGGGGAGGAAAATAAGGTAATAGCGAAGGTCATACAAGCATGTTTAATTATGTTGCAAAAAATATATCTTTTAAAGAAACCAATTACCCTTGTCTTTTTTTTTCCCCAGCTGTTCGGGGGTCTTGTCTGGATTTTGGTTGCCTCCTCCAATGTTCCTCTACCTCTGCTACAAGGATGGGTCATGTTTGTGTCCGTGACAGCCTTTTTCTTTTCCCTTCTCTTCCTGGGTGTGTTTCTCTCTGGCATGGTGACCCAAATTGATGCCAACTGGAATTTCCTGGTAAGGGATTTTTATTTTAAGTCTATTGTAAGAAAATGTGAGAAATTTTTATCTCATTCTGTTCTGAAATGCCTGAGTCCCTGTTCTGTTTGATGGCGCTAATGAGAGAGGGTAAGTCAGACGACAGGGGCTACTGCAGTGTCTTGTGATTGCTTTGCTGGACAGCAAGGTTCCCATTTGTGAAATTCCCATGTTGATAGAGGTGAAAAATCACTGTTACTCCTTTATGACATAGATGACTTTTACTCAGAAACTGTTTCATTTCATCTAGCAAAGTAATTGCATTACAATTATTGAACAATTGAACGGGTGCCTTTGGGAGATGGATGTTGTCCCACATATCCTGAAATTTTTCATTGATTTCTGCTTCAGATATTTAAATATGTGTGTGTGTATATATATATATATATCCTTTTGAAAAAACAAGTAGTTATATGTCCTGCTCTCAAACTACTTAGAAAAGGGAATGTTTTATATTTCTAATCAATCCCTGCCCTAAATTAACAAGAATGGGTAAGATTTAAAAAACGAATTTGCAATTAACACAATTTTTAAAATGACGGCACCATTAAATCAGATCAACTTACTTTTCATTTTTCTGTGTGATATGTGGAGCCTCTCTTTCATGCTTGTGGTCATTCACTCACTGAGATTATTTTAGAATGGCCCAGTGGATCACAAGTTCTAATCTATGATGGATGATGTTTAGTGAAGGTCATGAAGAACCACCGTTAGATGCTGATCACACTTTTGTGTTTAGAAACTTTAACCAGACCTTCAAATAGGCTTTTTATGTATGTTCCTTTCAAGCTTAATAGTATTCATATATTATTCAGCAGCTGTAAAGCAGATGTTAGAGGAAAATACCTGTTCTTGATTCGTTTATAGAGCATAAGAGGAACTGTAATCTCAAATGTTATCAGCGGTGAAGTCTATCGAATGTGCTGTCCTTTACACCAGGCTGAGTACAAATGGCCTGGCTTAGCATAAAGCTAAGAAGGAAGTGGTGTGCAGTGGTTACATACTGCACAGGCTTGCAGCTTAGGCCTGGTTTGTTTAGTATCTGCATAGCTTTGGGCAAAATAGTTAACTTTTCTAAATTTTAATCTCTTTGTCTATAAAATGGTAATAATACTACTTACTTCATCAGATGCTGTTAAAGAATAATGGAAATAGTATATTATAAAGTGCTTAGTCTGGACTATAGTAAGGAATCAGCAATCATTGTAACTCCTGAAAGACACTGAGGCTTGCAGTTTTGAACTTTAAAAGTTCTTCCTTTTTTTAGGTTGCTAATACAGTGTGCTCCTCCACTTTTCCCTTAATTTCTCATTAATGATAGATACTAAATTCCTCTTTCTAAATGCCTGGCTTTCTCATAACAATATATGAATGAATCAGTTGATCCCTGATGTTGGTAAAGGCTACTGAGTTATTTAATATCAGGTTCACAGATGATATTAGGCCAGTACCCCTGCTGGAACTTCAGTGCTGGTTAATGCATAATCACTGCTCCAATCTACTGCCTCTTCCCAAGTGCTATGCCACCCAGCACCCTGGCTCTTCCTCTGGGACATTCCTGGATCTCCTAATAGCCCAGCAACTGAAGGGTTAATACCTGGAAAAGTAGTGTCTCCAGGATCCTCCAGTGTCCAGCATTCTTTCTAATTAGTTGATGGATAGGCTTTACCAGTGCTTCAATATTTTTTTTGGACATGATTCCTGGTCTTATTAAACATATCTATGCCATCTTTTTTTTTCCTTTTGCTTTTATTGGGTCTCATTTTTGATATTGAGTACAATCATTAATATTTGTATTAATTTGTTTTTCTATATTTGCATTTCCCACCTATTTATAGCATTATATCTGAAGTCTAGAAAATAAAATGTTAGAGTTTTTGTTGTTGTTTTAATTATATCATTATATAAAAGTGACAATTGAAATTAGAAAGACCTATCAGTCTGTTCCATAGGTCACCTGCAATGATTATCCTGTGATATTTTTAGCTGGAGTAGTCTACTTTTACTGAGAAAAAAATGGTAATAGCAACACACCCCACATGGTACAGTGGTTGTCACTGCACAGGATGCATCATATGGTGGGTGTACTTTCAAAGAACCAACTCTTGCCTTCAAAGAGTTTATTAAATATTTCCCCCATTTAGAAAGGGTTCCTTTTTCCCTCTTCTTTTGTGATTTTCGTCATTTGCAGTCAATTTTGATTCATGATTTGCTTTTGATAGGTTTGGTAATGTATCTTGTACACTCTGAGCCAGAAAAATTTTGAGCCATGCATATCATGGAATTGTCACAGATGGTAATAATTTTTAATTGTTACATTCTGAAACTGTTAGACATGAATTGCTCAAAAAATAATTGTTTTTCTCTGTGATAATAGTTTAATGCCAACTTATACTATGCTTGAAGGAAGCAAGAATGCATTTTGATCAAAAATTTATTTTCTAGAAGTATTTTTTATTTATGATATAGACTATAATATTTCTTATGGTTTTTGTTGGTCATGGAATTAAAATAATATTCATGATAGGCAGCGCCTGGATTTTTTCCCAAGCTTTCTAGCTTTGGTATATTCTTGTACACATCCTATGTGTAGCAGGAATTATAATAAAATACCCAAGATGGCCAGTTATAAATGTAGGCATAGCTCTCTAGTGGTTGTGAATATTTATTGAGTACCTGGTTCTATACTAGGCCCAAGAAATAAAGTGGTGAACAAGACAGGCCTTGTAGTAGCTCTCAAAGAGTTTGTTGTTGTAAACAATGGGAGTAAAAAAGAAACACACACACACAATACACAGTTAATGCATTAATTAAAATAACCTTAATAGCCAAGAAGGGAAAGCCCAGCAAGCCAAAACAACATATGTATAATCTCACCTCCACTGGGTAGAAGATTCTAAGATGGATTTAAAGTGCAAGAATTTGGGATTTTGGTTTTGGTTTTAATTTTGTTTTGTTTTTTTTAAGGAGAAGGGAGGAGATAACACCTGTAAAAGATAATGAGGGAGGAAGTTAGATAAGTCTGAAAAGTCTCAGATTTTGATACAGAGGGATAAAGTCTTAGCCAAAAAACACTGCAGAGCACAGCCTTCCCTTTGAGAGTTTCGTGTTGGGCACAAGTGGCCAAGCACTAGTATCCTCACTGTGATGTCATGAGTTGGCACCTAGGAATAATGTGGCTTTGGCTCAAACACTGTAGCAGATCCCAAATCCACCAAATCTTGAGGCTGTCAACTACCCGTACACCTCACAGCTGGAGCATCAAGTTCGTTTTTGAAGGAAAATGTGTGGGGTGCACAATTATGGATGCTACAGTCTACTCCTTGCACCATGCGGCTTCATTTCTCCATCCGTATTTGGAGAGTTGCTCCTCCAGTGTTCCAGTTTTCATCTCTTTCTAAAGAAAGACTTAAAAGAGAGAGGTTAGAGAGATGAACTACAGCCTTCTTTGCTGGCGTTGGTCTCGGAGCCACAGTTGGTATTCATCAGCTCTCTCTTCCACTGACCATTTTACACTCCTCTTGCTCAGCTCTCATATCTGCTGGTCTCAGTTACCTGGTGTGCATCCAGATCCTCATTCCTGAGGGAGTCAGAGCCCCTAGCAGTCACTCATTTCAGACCAGTGTTGCTAGATTTGTTTGTTTATAGTCACATCTGGTAGAGAGACTTCCAAGAAGTCCCCAAGTCAATCACCTGAGTTTTACGTATAATTCCTCTTGCCTTCCTTGTTGCACATGTACTAGGTCCATATGTACTCACTGACCTCCAGCAGCCCTGCCTTCTCTCCATGATAAGGGTCCACTACCCTTGCCAGGATGGTGACTCCTCTTCTTGCCTTTTGTTCCCTGGACACAAGGAGTCCAAAGGAGCTGTAGCTTATTGTTCAATGGGACTCTTCCTGTCTCCTCTAGCAAGAGTCTGCCCTTGTGGGGACCAGGACCTCTGACCATGCAGAGCCCAGAGTTGTAGGGACAGAAACAAGGTTATCAGGAGTTATGGTAAGTGGAGAAACTCCTGCTTCTATTCCCAGGTTTTCATTGTTCCAATGGGGACACACCACCATGTAGAAAACTCTTCTTTAGTCTGTCTACTGCATCCTGAAGGATGACCACTGACCCACACAGACTAGTGCCTCCAAGCTGTGCCTCCAGCCAGCCATTCCTTGGTGCTGATGGGCTAGCAGCTTCCAGATGGTGCAGTTGTGAAGTGACCCATGACCCTGTGTCGATTCCCACTCCTCCTTTGCTGAGAAGTCAGTTCCTTGGTCAGAGGCTGTTGAGTGGATGCCTATGGAGCAGGGCCTCGGTAAATCTCTGAATGTAGGTGGTGGCTGAGGTTCTGAGAAAAAGAAAAGCAAATCCATACCCTGGGTTTTGAGAATAACCTATTATGGGTGTCTCTTTTTATGAGACTGAACCATTTGTCTCTGAACCTTTAATCTTTTTTTCCCCACATTCCTGACAAGCTCAGGCCATTCACCATTGACCATGAGTCTATGTATAGACTCACCTTGGGCCACTTTTCTTTTCAAACAAAGTGTGTGACATGCTGCACCACTCAGCCCCACCCATTAGGAAAATACTCCCTAACCACTGTCTTTCAAAGCCAACCCCGAATGTGGCTATACCGCATAAACAATGCACCTGCTGTTCCTTTTCACCTGCAACCACATAGCAAACCAACTCTTCCTAAACAAAGCCTGGGTTTTCTCTTTCTCCTTCAGCTTTGCATAAGATAACCCCTCTGCCATTTGGCCATAGTATGAGCCAGGGAAGGAGGACAGTTCCACTCTGGTAGGTGATACAGGACCCTGGGCCACTTGCTTGTGCAGCTGACTCATGCCAACCGTCCCTGCTCTTATCTGTCTCAGATATGCCATTCTCTTCTTAAGAAGACTGCTGCTGGCCCACCTGACTTTGAGAGTTGCTGGCTTCCATGGAACCCAACTCATAATAAGCAGTTCTGGATGCCTAATCACTTAGTGCTTCGAGATGAAGTGTTTCTTCTCTACCAGGGCCCAGCTGTATACCAGGAGCTGCTTTTCAAAGACTTAATACTCCACTGCAGGTTACATGCCAGGATCTAGAACTCTAGGAGCCTGCATAGTGATTTTCACACTGGCATTGCCATAAAGTCCACACTGTATCTTTACCCACTACATTTAGAGCAGGCATCCTCAAACTACGGCCCGCAGGCCACATGCCACCCTTCTAGGACATTTATCTGGCCCGCCAGGTGATTTTGCCATGGCTGCCTGTCCTGCTTAGCAGCTGACTCGTCCCGGGCCCACAGTGTGCATTCTCCAACGGTCTCAGGGATAGTGAACTGGCCCCCCATTTTAAAAGTTTGAGGACCTCTGCCTTAGAGTATATGGGATCCTAAGGATAGCTGGATAGGATGACCCAAGCACATGGAGTTAGGAGTACAGGAAGTGTATTGGGTGGCAGCACCTATAAAAGATAGAAGGGGAAGAAACGGGAGTAGACAGAAGACTTTAAACCACAGTTTAAGTCAGATGCTCCTAAAAATAAAGAGAGGAAGCACAGTTGGCAGGAATAGAAAGGGAGAGCATCAGGTGCAAGTAGTAATTGCTGTGGGAAGAGTCTTTCCAGGCAGAAACAATTCATTGTGTAGAGAGTATCATCCTAATGCTCTAGAGTGCTTCCTAGGGACTAAAATGAGGCCAGAGTGGCTGACATTCAAGGATGCATGGGTGGTAAAGAAGGCAAAAACCAGATCACACTAAGAGCTGCAGGCCATGTTGCCGAATTTTTTCCTTCCTTTTTAAGATAAACAATTTCTGAGGATCCACCTTACTAAGTTAAATGAGTACCTAGTGACATCAAACACATTTTTCTTAATTATTATTACTGATTAAGATCCAGCTTACATTTAATCCCTAAAAATAGTGACATTTGAGTTTGGATTTTGACCTTCATCAACTAACATTTGTTAAATAACCACATATATTTGAATATCTCTCTTATAGATTAGATACGTGGCCACTATGTAACACTTGTCCTAAGAACTACCATATGATTCAGAAATTCCACTACTAGGTATCTATCCAAAGGAAATGAAATTAGGAAGAGATACCTGCACTCCCATGTTTATTGCAGCACTGTTCACAATAGCCAAGATGTGGAATCAATCTCAGTGTTGGAGGAAGGAATAAAGAAAATTGTGTGTGTGTGTGTGTGTGTGTGTATAAAATAGAATAATATCCTGCCTTTAAAAAGGAGGATGCCCTGTCATTTGCAACAACGTGGATGAATCTGGAGGACATTATGCTAAGTGAAATAAGCCAGGCACAGAAAGATGAATACTGTGTGATCTCACTAGTAGAATCTAAAGAAGTTGAACTCATAGAAGTAGACAGTAGAGTGGTGGTTACCAGAAGGTGGGGAAGAGAAACTGGGGAGATGTTGATCAAAGGATGCACAATTTCAGTTAGGAGGAATAAGTTCAAGAGATCTATTGTACAACATGGTCACTATAGTTAATAACAATGTATGTATTCTTAAGAATAGATTTTAAGCGTTCTCATCATGAAAAAATATGTGAGGTAATACATATGTTAATTAGCTCCATGTAGCCATTCCATATTTCAAAACATCATGTAGATGATAAATATATATAATTTTTGTCAACTGAAATAATTTTTTAAAAAAAGAAAGTGGACTTTAGAACCAGATAGGCTATGTGGTCTTGAGTTCTCCCTCCAAAAGTTAATATTTGGAAGAGTCATTTAACTGAAAAGAAGAAATTCTCTATAAAATGGAGATAATAAATGGCGGTTATAATAATATACATAAAGTACTTGGTACATGGGAGCTGTTAAAAATAAACAGCAATGTGTTGATGGTATTTTAATTCAGGTAAGACAATGTGAATTTTAATAGAATTCTGTTTCACATTGATGCCACCAACATGCAAAATAACCTAATAAATAATTGAGTTCTTACACTTTTTGTAGAAGTATTATTATTTGTTTTTAATGGACTATATGGATGTATGTTATTGAAGTGTATGATTTTATAAATCTGTATCTTTTAGTTTATGGGATAATTATCTAATGATAATTACTCAAAATAATTATAAACTGTATATGTGCATACATATATAACTATAAAAAATGATGTTATTTAAATGCCATTTTACTTAAATTTTAAAGATGGCATATATTATTCCTTTTTTATATTATGTTAATTAACATTGATATCTATGGCACCTTAATCTACACTGACATTATATATTTTACGATAAAATTCAGCATATGGGAAGGTTTGCCACTGTACCAATTAAGATGGGTTGGTTGATTTTCATTTGAATTCTAATAGCCTGACATTGTTGCTAAAGCAGCCAGAATAAATAGCCAATGTAGTATAGTCAAGATCATTTCATTAAATGTTTTGATCTTGCTAAACCTAAACTTCATCATTTGAAAGAAGGAACAGAAAAAAATTATTATTTTTAATGATAGATGTTTTCTCTCTCCTCTCTCAGGATTTCGTCTACCATTTTACAGTGTTTGTCTTCTACTTCGGAGCCTTCTTACTGGAAGCAGCAGCCACGTCCCTGCACGATCTGCACTGTAACACAACCATGACTGTGCAGCCGCTCCTGAGCGACAGCCAGTATAACATAAACGTAGCAGCCACCGTGAGTATTCAGTGAGCACAGTTCACCAGCACGGTCCCTCCATTGGCAAAGTCTCCAAGGAACTCCTCAGGCAACAGTTGTTCTCTTTAATAATATCCATTAGCATTAAACATATAATAGCTGTTTATTTGTATAATAATAACCTATGAGCACAGTGCCACTATCGCTCCAAGCACAAAGAGGTTGATATTCATCTAACATCATAGCAAGCCAGTAGCACTGCTTGGCTTTGCACAGCCTGTCTCTTTTGTACAAAAAAAAAAAAAGAAAATGGGCTTTTGACTTCTTATCACTTTTAGACATGGTAAGGGACATTTGTTCCCAGCTTTGCTCTTCAGTATTTAATGCCTATTTTAATTCAGTGAATATTTGCTGTGGGCCTGCCATGTATGCAAGCACTTTGCTGGGTGTTAGGGATAATGAGCTGCAGTTCCTGCCACTGAGGAAAGTGCAGGTGAGTGCAGAAGGCCAGTGTGCAGCCATTGCAACAGACGGCATGCAGATTAAATGCATTCCATGGGGGAACTTTTTGAATGTTTTTATCCTTTTTATGCACTGGAGTGAATTTGCCATTTTGTATTGACATAGGTAATATGAATAAATTATATATATATTTTGTTTGTTTTTATAGATCATTTTTAAGATGTCAGAAATCCAAATTATTTTCTGAAATGTCTTGATATTTGATGACAGTATGTAGCAAGTTAGTGACCTTAATGTGTTACTGTTTTACCCAGATAACCCAATATACCACATAGTCATTGAAATCTGTCTAGAGAAGCACTGTCTAGTAGAACTTTCTACAGTGATAGGAATATTCTATATATATGCTATTCAGTATAGTGGCCACTGTCACATGTTGCTGTTGAGCAATTGAAATCTAGCTAGTATGACGAAGGAACTGAATTTGTAGTGTCATTTAATTCTAATAAATTTAAATTCAAATAGCCAGATAATGGCTAGTGGCTATCATATTGGACAACACAGGTCTAGAATCTGGATTTTAAAGGGTAGAAGACAGATGATTTCAAGACCTATTGTAAGTTTCCCAAGTCTCTGTGGGGATTTGTCAAAATTTATTGAATGCCTACAATGAATTAGACTGAAGATAGGATTGCAACAGAAAAAAAGGCATGGTTCTAGCTTTGAAAGGCTTATAGTTTAGCTCAGTGATTTTAACCCTTTCTTTTATAAGAAATGAAACCATTTTACTTAATGAAATCTTACCTAAAATCCAATAAATGTAGAAGATAAAAGCTTACGTGCCTTAGTTGAAGCAACGGAAGGGGGCCTTGAATGGTGCCCATCCTCTTTTCATGAAGCCGTCTCTGCCCACATCATCATCCCTCAGGTACTTTCATGGAATCTTTGTGATACAAGGGTTACAGTTGGAAAACTACTGCTTTTATCGATTTTACAAAGCAAAGTTCAGCAACTTGGAGTTGATTTTTTTTTCTATTAGTCATAAATTCCTATAGTATTTTCCTTAGCGTGTCTCACTTCTAATCCCTTGTTTGCAATGGTGCAGCCTAGATTCTCATTACCTCTCCTGGATCATTGAAGTAGCCTCAAATTGGTCTAGGCAGGCACCCTCAGATCCTGCTTTCACAAGAATAGTAGGTGCTCAAGTATGTGATGATTGGCTGATGCCGTTAATTTCTCACTAACATACCTTTGCCCTAAAGGCCATCCATAGTGTACTTCTGCTCTGGCTGCCCTCCTCTGTGACTTTGTTCTTGTTCTCCTTCCGTTTCTCTCTGTGCCTAAGTGAGACCACCTCAGGAAACCTCCACATGCTTCAAGTTCTGCATTATGTCCCATTTCATCCAATCTAAGTAAATCACTAGTTTCTGAGTTTTAATACCACTAAAATGTATCAGCCATTCGTTTGTGATGTTAGATTGCATCCTTCACTTCTCTTTCAGTGTACCTGAGAAAGAGGAAAATTCCTTTTCACTAATAATAAATATCAAAAGTGATTGTTCTCATTCAGAGGACAATGTCTAGATTAGAAATGTACGGGAGAAACAACCAGCAGAGGGAGAGTGGGGAGAACAACAGAATGGTAATTAAACTGTGAAAATGTTCAACAGGTGAATCTGATATTCTTTCCCAGAGCTGTGGTTTCCTGGTTAAGAATCCCTGTACTAAGTCACAATGTTTTGTCGTATTGAACTGCTCTTGCTTTGTCTTGTAGTTTTCTAAGGGTCATAAACCCCAAAAGGGTGAGGACAATATCTACTATTTGTTGATATGTACCAAATATAGTGATACACACATAGTCAGTGCTAAGAAATCCACATTTAATACTAAGGACAGTAATTCACAGCAGAGTGCAGCCTTAAGGATGAGGACTGTCTCCCAGATGAGAAAGAGCCAATCTGATAATTCATTCCCATGTGTTTTCTTTGTTGAGTTCCAAAGTCACTTTCCATTGTCATAGAAACAATGTGATACATCCTCAGGTTCTGAGAGTTGCTGGCTTCCTTGGTTGTAAAAGCACTATATGAATAGATACTTTATACAGAATTTTTAAATACAGTGCCTGGGGGTTCACAAATAATAAGTGACCCCAGTATATGGACAAATGTTCAACGTGAAGCTTTCTACCAAAGATAAAATGACTAGAGGCTAGAATCTTTAAAGGAATAGATAATACCATGAAAAAGTAAAACAGTAGTACAAATCATCAAAAAAGAGAGCAATATAAAATATTTTTGTAAGTGTTGAAGTATCGTTAGGTAGGTTGGTCTTCACATAGTTGTTCCTTAGTTCCTAAGTCAGTTCTATAAATCTGATGTGAATTTTTGTTTCTTTTTTAGATTTTTACCTTTGTGACGACAGCTTGTTATGGTTGCAGTTTGGGTCTGGCTTTACGAAGATGGCGACCGTAGCACTCCTTAGAAACTAACAATTGTGTGTTAGTTCCATGTGTCTACTTTATATGTCTAATCAATTTGGATACCATTTTGTCCAGATGTAAAAACATTCCAAAAGAAATTTGTTTAGTATATATATAGAGAGAGACTCTTAAGTGCAAGTTGTGGTTTATTTCATGGATGAAATTTTAATTTTATTATGATGTTAAATAGAAAAATGACCTTTAATTTTATATCTTTTCTTTCTGCTTTTCTTTCTTTTTTAAAAATTTCTCTTATATCCATAAAATACAAAGATACTGTTTATTAAAAAGTAGTATCCCTTTCGTTTGGTTACTGAGTCACCTAAACCTTAATTTTAATAGGTAACTAAAACTCCTTAAGAAACACACATTTCAAATAGATTTCCCACTAAACTCTGTCTTTTAATGTAAAACAGGGATTGGCATACTTTTTCTACAATGGGCCAGAAGGTAGATATTTTAGGCTTTGTGGGCCATTCAGTTTCTGTTACAACTACTCACTTCTGCTGTTGTAGCATGAAAGCAGCTATAGATAATACATAAATGAAAGAGTGTGATTGTGTTCTAATAAAACTTTATTTACAAATACAGGGGAGGTTGCATTTAGCCCTTAGGCTATAGTTTGTCAACCTGTGTTATAAAACATTAATTATCGAACTGATTGTGAAAGGTTATAAACCTAATTAGACAGGCCACATAATCATTAGTCTCATGCAATAACTACATTGCCTTTGTGTTAATGGTTAAATTTTTACCCTTGGAGGGGCATATAATTTCTCAAGCTAGCTCAAGCAGACTCCTGGGTATAATAAAAAGTAATTTATGAAGTGAACTTTAGTTGCCTAATTAAACTAATGATCTAACAACTGAGCAAGATTCTCATTTGAGAGTCCTTCAGTGGGATCCCCAGAGACTATCACTACTGGCACTGGTATCTAGCCACTTAGGTCTTACTTCAGATTTATTTATGCTTCAGAATATAGTTGTTTGCCCTGTGCATGAATATATGAATATTTGTGTGTGGATATGTTAGACTTTCCAAATAGAACTCTCAGAAGATTTAACTTTTTACTTCTAATTATTTTGCATTACTCTGAATTAAATTTGAATAGAGTATTAAATATAAAGTTGTAGCTTCTTACATGTTTTGATGATAGCCCAGACATGTATGTTATTTTTGCATTGTTGACAGATAGACAAAATCAGTTTCAAAACAATAGCCAGCACAAAAACTGTCTCTGGCTGAATAGCACAGAAAAGTATTTTAACCCACCTATAGACTCATGGAAAGGTGCAAAAATGGCTTGAATGGAAGAACAAGATAGAGTTAGGCCATAGTTCCCACCACTAGGGCTTTTGGCTTGCTCTATTCTTTCAGCCCTTTGCATTATAGCTGAAGCATCCCCTAAGAGTGCCATGTATAAGTTGTACTATTAGATTTCATGGAACATAGAACAACCATGACCGACTGAGTAGCATGATTAAGGCTCAATGATGAAATGCCATTAATCTAATAATCCCATAGAAAGAGAAAACTTGTTAGACTTTGGTTTTTGACAAAATTATAAAGACAAAAGACATGATTCAATATGTGGCTTGAGGAAATCAGTCTATGACTTTATACTCTTTTCTGTGATATCCAACTTCCTTGGTTTTTCTAGCTGCACACCACACACCTAAGCCTGTATTATGAATTATATATTATGAAGTAAGAAATGTGCCATAAGGATATATAGTCCATTCTAGTTGGAATTGTTAAAGTTAGTCTGCTAGAATTTAGTTGTGAGATATTTTTGTTTCCAAGGTATATGAGGTTTATGCTTGGTGGCATTAAATGATTTCATAACATGCTTTGGTGGTACTTTTGTAAATGGATTGCTTCTATATCATTAAGAACCAAGCCTAAGACTCACCTAACTGTGAACACTTAGATTTGTAGATGAATCGCATTCTAGATTTATAAGTTGAGTGATGAAGCACTTGAACAAAAATTATGACATTTAAGAATTTCTTTACATATTTTAGGTGTAAAAATGAGAATATGTTGCTTGGTTTTAAAATCTGGTATAACTCCATGATAAAAAGAAATTTATTTTATAAGTGTTATGACTCTAATAAAAAGTATTCATTTGATAATATTTTTGGTCATCTATTTTTTTATACCATTCACTTTGAAATTCAGTTAAAGTTTTGATATAAACTTGACAGTGCTTCTAAACTTATATAAAAGAGATCTGTTATAAACATTTCTATGTGAAAGAGAGTCTTCCAGGATATGTCAGTAAATCTTCTTTTTTTTTCCTTTTATTTCATCATATTATGGAGGTACAAATACTGCTAGGGTTACAGACATTGCCCCTGCCCTCCCTCCCCCCATGTGTCTAATCCCTGGGTGGTGTGCGCCACACATGCCATGTAAGCATACACCCCTCTTCTCCTCCCCCTTCCCGTCTGCCCACCACCCGATAAAAAATTTGGGTTTTTTTTCCATTTTTTGTTTGCTTGTTTTTTGGGGTTTTTTTTTTGGTTTTTTTTTTGACATTTTGGTTACATTGTATATCCTTTCCTCTCCTGTCAATTCATGAGTAAATCTTTTTTTTGATGAAGGCAAAAGAGGTAAGTCTTTGGAAATAATATTGGAAAGAAAGTTTAAATAAAAATTATATTCTATTTTATTTAAAAAGCATTTATACTATGTGTCAGGCAGTGTCTTAAACATTTTTAAAATATTCGATCATTTAATCCTTATGATAACTCTATGAGGTAGATACTCTTAACCCATCTTAAAGATTAGGGGACTAAAACGCAGACCTTAAGAAACACTCAGGGCTGCCTACCTAGCGAGTGAGAAAGCCGGGTTTTAAAACCCAGCAGTCTGGTTCCAAAGTTCAGGCTCTTCATTGCTGTGTATGCTTCATTTCTCCTAGATTTTACATATATATCCAAAAATGTGAACTTCTTTTAACCCCCACCAAAAAAGTTTTTAGCAGAATGTTTAACAACATAATTGTTGATGATAGATGTCATCTTTTAGAACAATTTTGTCATTACCAAGGATTCATGATTTTAGCTGTAAAAATGTGGGCCAAATCTGCGTGATGAGGAAAAGGTTAGACAGCTTTAGTTTGCAAAGGTCCCTGGAGTTCTTGGCTGCCTGTATATTCCTTTGTTAATTCTGGCATGGACTACAGGGGCTTCAGTCTGCTGTATTACCTTATGTCAAGTCAGCCTTTTCCCGATTCATCCAGGCTTTCTGATCATCCCTGCAGCAGACTTCAGAAGGGTTCTCTAGTCTGAGATACACCATTGAGTCTTCACGCTTGGACTATGAATTTCCACCTCTGTGTGTTCCAGAACCTGGAATTCCAGGTCATTTTCACAGAAGCTCTATCCTTGACAAGATGCCTCAATTTATTATTATCACCCAGTGAGTCAGCATCTCAGGTGGCAACTTAACATGTTCATGGGGGAGGGGACCAGAGTTTGCTCCTTATTAGAATGTATGTATTTTTTTAATGTTTTGAAAGCCCAGTTTTGTAAAAAGAACACGTTACTTTTACTAGGCTGTGTCCTAACAAAAGGTCGGTACTAGTTCCTGTCTCTGGAGCACTCTTTTCTCAAGTTACTTACGTGGCTTGTTTCTGCACCCCTTTTAGGTCTTTGCTCAATTATCACATTTCCAGTGAGGCTTGACCTCAGTACCATGTTTAAACTTAATTAAATCTCACACCACCACTCTCTATTCTCCTTTCCTACATTTTTATCCATGGCACTTATATATTTTATATATATTAATAGCATATATGTATATAGCATTTATATATATATTTACATTGTCTTCTCCACTAGAATGTAAGATTTGTGGAGAGGAATTCTCTGTTGGGTTCTCTGCTGTCTCCCAAATGCCTAAAATAGAGCAGAGCAAATAGCAGGCACTCAGTAAATACATATTGAATTACTGACTGGATGAATAGTGTGCCAATACCTTCCTCTTGTGTTCCTACCAATATAGTCTATAAAAATTGACTTTGTGCTTGAAAATGTCTACTATAAAATGGCTTGGGCTTTTTTTTTTTTTTTTACCAAAGCCTGGATGGATTTAGGGTGATTTCTAACCTTACAACCTCTCTAGTGATTTAATTAATATATTTCTATTATAAAAATACTATGTAATCCATCAGAGGGGTTGTGCATGTACAAATTAGACATTCCACCTAAAATCATTAGATCTTTATTCCAACATTTTATGACTAAAGTCACTATAGAATCAATTGACTTAGATAATCTTCAAAGCATGAAGGGAGCTAAGGACTATGGGTTAAAGGCTATTTTTTTTTTTATAATTATAATGGGAGGTGAGGGCTGTGGCTAAAGTTTGGATCAGAAATTATGATAGGCATTGTTCTAAATCTAAGATGGAGTAGTGGTGTCTGTATATGTAATGTGGCATTTTAATTTTCATGTCTCCCAACTCCAAGCTTTATTCTTGGATATGTGTGAGAGTTAGTCTAGATGAAGGATGTTGTTGAATTCCCTATCAGTAGTTTTAACATATTCTAAGTATGCTAGGTGTCCTGAGTCAGTGTATAGTTTAACTGAAGCAATGATGTTCTTATTCATCTGTATGCTGAGTCACCCTGAAATTTGGCATGTTTTTAAGAGTTAAATAGGATATCTTACTGAATATACCAAGACTTTTGTGTGGATATTTTTTGGAACATGAATAATCTTGTTTTATACATAAGTGTCTAAAAATATTTAACAGTGATTGACTCAAGGTATGTTACTTTTAGGTAGTGGGTTTTTGCAGTGGTATAAATTTTTAAGCATAAGTACTATATTTATGTATGTGAAATACATGAGCTTGTGTCTTCCACCTATTTTAAGTATTAGTAAATCATGTTCATTTTTAGATCATAAAATATTTCCTTTTTCACCCTATGTAATAGATTCCCCTCCATATTTCTTAAAGTACACACACTCCATTTTGGAGATCACAGGAATGGAGCCTTGACTTGACAGGAAACTGGATTTATCTCCTTTGCTGGTTAGAACATTGCTTTAATTTGCTAGGGTTGCCTTAACAGAGCACCACAAACTGGTAGCTTATGACAACAGAAATGTATTTTCTCATAGTTCTGGATAGTAGAAGTCTGAAGTCAATGTCTCAACAGGACCTTGCTTTCTCTCAGACTCTGATAGACTCCTTCCTTGCCTCCTCTTAGCTTCTCGTGGTGTTCCACAGTCCTTGTGTTCCGTGGCTTGCAGCAGTGCCACTCCAATC